AAATAGAGGTTTTGTTTATTAAACACTTGGGAATTAGGATGCCCAAACCAGAAAGCAATTCTGTAATACAAGAAACTTGAACCAAATTTGTTTTGCAGTGTAATTAGAACCAAATGTGCAGAAAGTGAAGATTTCTGGGCCTTTTGTATCTCCTTCTATGCTTGCTTTCCAAAAGCTCCTAACAAATCAAGTGTCTATAGACGTTTGTGTAGGACATTATTGCTGCTCTTGGGGTCCAATGTTTTATATATAGGACCCATTAAGCTATGATCTGCAACCAGGCCACATCATTTGCCATAAGTTGCATTTCCAGAGCTTAAGCGCTCCCTGCCTGAGTGATTAACTTGGTCAAAAAGCAACCTGGGCAGATGATCATACAGGTTCAATTGGAGCTCGAAAAAAGTCAGAAGAATAATTGTGTGCAAAAAGATGGTAAAGAGAGAAAACCATTTACTGATCATACAGACTTGGTTGATAGAGAAAACCCTTAAAATGAGACACATCAGTGAGACCCAATTAAAGATGGGGCAACTGCTCAGAAATAAAGCCATAGCTAGGCCCATTTACAAATCCTGTAAGTCGATCTAGAGTATCTCTAGAGTAGAGTCTGGACCAAGAGATCCCTAGGGTGGTAAATGACTTTTGTCATGATTTCATGTATTGGTCCCTGTTATACGGATCAGGTCTGGGCCTAATTCAGGATGCTATAGTATAGGGAGGTTCAGAACCTGAGCGGAGTTTCTGGGCTACATAATTGGCACCATGCATTAGATAATCCCTAAAATTGGATTGTTTTTTTTTTATTATTATGAATATAGGCATGGAAAATAATAAAATTTATAAAACTGGTTTGCTATACAGGTTACTCAGCTAGGGACGCAACTTGGGCTAGCCCCCCAGCCCAACATGAGAGTATCAAATTTTAGTGTAGGCTAGTCCACACTTGGAACTTGACCTTGGGCTTGGTTTGGACTTGGGACTCGGGCCTTAGGCCAATTCTGGGGTTGGGCCTGGGTTGAACTCAAAATTAGCCCACCCGCCTAACTTCAACCTCTATGTTCATTTTAACAAGTTTTCACAAAAATGATCAAAGAATCTTCCACGTGGCAATTTAATTTGGAGCTCAAGAAGAACCTCTTTAATGCCCTTGCCATCCTTTAGTAGATGCATTCCATGACTAGCTATTTATGACTTATAATCCTTAAGTAGATGATTGGTTTCAAACTTTGTTTTAGAGCCCCAACCATAATAGTAAAACTCATGAGTTAACTTGAAATCAAGCCAACCTCAGTAGGGCAAAGTTTCAAAAAGATTTTGAACTTTTGTGCCACTATAGTTTTCCAAGTTAATTGATCGGACCATGGAGAGCTTAAAAAATATTGCCAAGCTGACTCAAATTTGCATAAATTTTCACTTTGGCTACATTTAATTGCAGTGAAAACCTGAATCATATACAAGTTTTGCACCTGATTCAGTTTTCTGTTTGTTTGTAACTATGACTTGCACTCCTACCTGATATAAAATTTCTATCATTTGTTTCATTTGCATTTGTTAGCAATGTAAATTTTATATCTCAAAAAATTGATGTAAAATTTGCACCACCTTCCTTATACCTCAATTCTCTCTCATATAAAGTGGTAACCACATTATCTTACTTCCAACCTTACTCCAAAACAAATAAATCTCCTACTACGTTCATTCTTTGGCATATAAGGTGGATCACACCATTTTCCTTCTTATTTTACTTGTCATAGACAAATAAGACAAGGTCACATTTGAAGCAAAAATAAATCAACATTTATGCTCAGTCTATTTGCACTCCCATGCATTTACAGTAGTGCAAATATGCAACCGAATACAGTCTTTTGAACATTTTTAGCACATTTGCTACATATCCTCATTTTTCTTAAAATATTTTGATAATTATTTAGGAAAAGATTTATTCAGTTTGAATTAAGGCACTTTTCCTACATGACCCATTCTATTTTTGCCACATTGAATGAAGTGACCAATCTAGCTAGTCCATCTGATAGTATTGCCCTTTGTATACTGCATAGGTTGGGGGGTACATGATAGGGGTGTCCATGGTTCAGTATAGCCCTTTTTTGTAAACTGAACCGGTGGTATCAGTTTTTCCATTTCGTCAAATCGAAATCGAACCGGTACCACCGGTTAACCGGTCCGTCAGTTTCGGTTTTTTGGTTTTTTATATTTATAATATATATTATATAAATATATGTATAATATTATATTATAATAATTAAAAAAATATAATATATTTATAAATAGATCATTATAAATATAATATAAGTATATATTTATATATATAATGAATATATATTCATATAAAATACATAGAAAATATGTGACATATATTAAAAATATATATAAAATATACATATAAATATATATACCGGTCGATTTTTTATGGGTTAACCGAAAACCGAACCGGTCCTTCGGTTTTTTCAAAAATTCCGAACAAAAAATGAACCGATCGATTCGGTTAACCGCATTTTGCAGTTCAGTTTTTCGGTTTTCCATGGACACCCCTAGTACATGATAATGTAATTTGCACCATGAATGCTAGATCACATAAGCTATTGCTACATTTGCCCATGATACTCCTCAATCAAATACAATTAAAACTAAGGGGGTGTTCTTTTTTCAGATTTTGAGAGGGGGGAAAGTTGGTCAATGGGATTTTGATTAGGGAAAGTTTATTTTTCTACCCATATCCTAGGTGAGAAACTCACCTAAGGAGAAAGTTGCTAACACTTGAGTGAGACAAAAATGCCCCTTTTAATAATGGATTTTTATGGCTAAAATGGTCATTGCCTTATTTATATGAGAAATAAAAGAATATGGGTAAATGCACCTACCCGGGTAAGTGTTTTCCATGAAAAACTTACCCAAATAACTGCATTTACCTAGATAAGTAACTTACTGAAAAGCGAACGGACCTAAATGTCATCCATATGATGGAAAATGGATTGGATCGGATTAGGTAAAGGGTATATCTGATCCGACTCAATAAGAAATTTGATCAATCTAAATTCAATAAGTATCTGGCAGATTTCCAAGATTTGATTAAAATTCAAATTCAATATCTTATTGGTTATCCGATTTAAATTCTATTCAGTTTGGACTGTAGTAAAAAACTCAATGACAATATAAGTGATATATTATAATATATAATATGTAATTATATAAATAATAAATAATAAATAATATTTCACAACAAATGGATCAGATCTGGTCATGAACTCATGACGGATTGGATTGGGTATATTCGAATTTGATCTATTAACTAAACGGATTAACTTTTTCAATTCGGCTCTTACCCGGATAGAATTCAGATTCCAATCAGATCTGTTCCAACTTACTTGCAGCCCTAAATTTCATTGAGAGGTTATAAGGGAGTGTTGTGGCCATTGTCACGTCAGATGTGAAGGGTCAAACGAAAATGTATGTTGGGACTCTTTTGAGGCCAATCATGTCTCACGTGAATGATTTTTATGTCATTTTGAGTCCTTGTATTTGATACAATTGCTGTTTTTAGTTAAAACGTTTTGGATTGATCAATACAAATTATTATTTGTATATGAAGTGCCAATTTGATATTTCAACCATAAACATCATTTATAAATTCCACAGCATGTATTTTCTTTTTAGCTGAAAATGGCTTTTGTTTTAGATCAGTCGGTTGGTCAGGTGATGGAGTGGCCCATTCTGCTCATGGATTCACAGTAATTTGTTAGTCCTTGGTTAAGTTGGAGTAGTCCCTGGTGTCTTGTTTGGTGTGTTTTAATTTACTGTTCTCTGTTTTCTTGTTGGTTGTTTAACAAAGATTGTTTTTATCAAAAGCCAATAAAAAAGAAAAAAAAAAACAATACAAAAATGATCTGTTGTTTCATATAGAACAACAATGATACCAAACTATATATTAATGTTTGTCTTGATGTTATCTACTTTTTTATTCTATTATTGTTGTTACCTAGAATGGGGCCGAGGGCAATAAGGTAATTTTGTTTTTAGTTGAGGCTGATGTGTCCAACTTGAGAGCAAGAAGAAGTGAATACACGTTAAAGGCCTCGGGTAGAGACTCCAACGATCAAGTTAGTCAAGTGCTTGAAAGGGGTCGGATTAGGCTTGAAACAAGGGCTCAGATAAGGTCATTCGAGAGAAGGAAAAGTAGAAAGCAAAAGTAGACAACATGATCTTACCTTGAAATTGGACACCCCCTTTTATACTTGACCTTGCCATGGAGTGGTTGGAGGCAATTAAAGATGGACGACTAGGATCTCATCCAACTAATACCACGTGGCACCATCCGGAACCCTACCATATGCACCTACATCAATTATTATTTTTTTATTTACTTTTTTCCCATTATTTGACAATTCTTTTCGCATAATTTTTTTAAGTTGGGAAGAAAAAAAAAAAGCTAAATACCAAAAATCAGGAAATCTCAAATAAAATTTCTTTTGATCATAAGGGCTTCCTAAAATACTTGTCAGACAACACTTAGTTTTATGCATCAAACAGAGAAATACCAAATTTTGATGTTCCAAACTTTCAAAAACTAAAAATACCACATCGAACTTACCGATCCCCATTAATAAATTGTTCAGTTCAACAATTAGAAAGAATAGCCAAAGCCGGCACTAAGATGAAAGAACCCTCTCCAGTAGATTCTAATCCACTGGTTAAAAGCGTCTCCCACGGTCCTTAATTCCTTATTGAAAAAACTGGTAGGTTCCACTCCCATCACCATCCATTCAAAAAATCAACTCTAGCTCGGAGGGTTAATGGGCTCACTAGTTACTACTATCAGGGGGTGGCATCACACCCAAGGAAAACACTAAAACCTTACCTTTTCTGGTGGGTCCCGTGGGCCCAATCTGACATTATGATTTTCGAATACAACGTGCTCTCCATCTCGTAGTGCATTAGTGCTTTGCTTTGTGCACTTTATAATTTGTTTTCATCGATACATAAAATGACGGACGAGTAACGATGTTTAGGGTGGAATATTTGACATTTTGAATTCTGTGGAATTCAAATTTCTATATGTATTTTTCCGAAAGAAAAATTGTTCGTGCTTTCCTGAAACTCTGAAAAGACTAATTTATTTTACAAAAAGACCACTCAATTGAAAATTTATTACCGATCACTACACATCAACAACGACTACCAATTATCGTCCATTGCCGATCACACTTAATTGGTAAAGTTTCGAATAGTTGCATGTGGCTCTGTTGCTTTTGCCGCCGGCGAAGGTTCGACCGTCGGAGACGGAGGAACTGGGGTGCATAACAGCTCCACCGGCAAGTCGGGGATTCCCTTGAGGTAGAAGGTGTAGAAGAGCTTGAATGGGAAGATAAGCTGCTGCAGTTTTACCTGCCCGGACGCCCCCTCAAAGACCCCCGATCCTCCGGTCACCGCCAGATAGGTGTCCTCGTAAGTCAGATACGCTCCCTGAACCGTTATGTGACCGTAATCCCCAAAGTAGAAGCTGTAGATGGCCTCGTATCGGTCTCCTTTCTTCTCCGGTACGTGTTGGATCAATACGCAAATGCCAGCCGTGATGCCCAGTCTCTTCTGCAAGTCCCCGCTGTAGATCTGCGTTTCACAAAATATACCAAATTATTCATTTGATCCGGAGATCAAAAGAGAAATTAAGAGAGACCCAGGAGAAGAAAATTAAAGCTTGCCTTGTTGCTAAAAGGTACAAGATCACCAAGGGAATTGACTTCTTTCTGGCTCAGCCGGAGGTAAGCAGGGCTGCCACGGTCCCTCTCGTTGATTTCATAGACGTGGAGTTCTTGAACTTTGGTTGAAGCAGGTTCTCCTTCCATTTTGCAGGAGAAAGATCGGGTCTTGATGTTGGTGGTGTGTTTCTGGGTAGAGAAGCTGTGATGATGGGTGGTTATAGATCTGGATGACAGCGTTGAAAAGGATCCCGGGAGCTTGAACCCTGAGAAAAACTGTTGGGAATGCGACGAGGAGAGAGACCTTGAGTTGGGCATTTTAACAGAGGAAGACAAGGTTCTGAGAGTTGCTAATGAGCTTGCGGACGCCATTGACGGGGAGCTAGACTGGAGAAGTTCGAAAATGACGAACGCAGGTTTGGTGAATGAATGAACCGGAGAGATCAGAAATCCCAAAGAAGCGATGCGACGAACTAGGTAGGTGTGGAGAAGTTAATTTATAGGAGATCTCATCATGCCAACACTGTAGTCTGGACGGTGGCGAGTCCACTCGTTTTCACGTGCGTTAATTGGGTGTTGTGCACTTGTGCTAGCGATTACCGAACACTCCACTCGAAGGGATAACGGCGACGGCTTGACTGTTTGTCTCGCCACCGTTAGAGGCAGTGGTCGGATTTCAGTTTTCACACGTATGGACGGAGCAGCGTGATGCATGCATGTGCCGTGCTGCTGGTTAGTGCTCGTTCGTGTAGTTAAGTAGTTTCTGTGAGTAAAGAAAAGCAAGCAGTCTCATTTGACCAATCAAGGTCCAGGTGAAAGGAGTCGATATCAGAAAACAGGAAAACCCCAGGGGCGGCCGACTCGGTGGGGGAGTTGATTGTTGATTTCGCATCAGCCACACCCACTCGCGCCCCACAACCCATCCCAACCGTGTATTGAGAACATCTCCCCTGACAAGTACATGGGAGATGTTTTCAACTGTACGCTGAAATGTGCACGTTAGCCAAATATGATTCAATGTTCATTTCCTTCGGAGAAATTTCTTCATCCATGTGATAACAATTGGTTCAAAAAATATGAAATTTTCAAAATTTGACACTTACTGTGAATCAGATTTGTCTCGTGTTTGGCATTATTGTTGTTTGCACATGTTTGGCATTATTGTTGTTTGCACATGAAACGTTTGGGTTGATAAGTAGTAATTGGTGAGAAATATATTTTATCACATCAACTATACAAATACATGTGTGGATCTGATCATTGCATGAGTTAATGTTTTAGGTGAAAACACAATGCTACCAAACACAATCTTGTTCCTCAATTTAATAAAATAAGCACTAGGCAGTTGGTAGTTACTATGCGAGTCATCCAACGTTTTATTAATCTTTCATTTGCATGACAATCATGTTTTGGAAGACTAATTTCATTGAAGAAAATTTTGCATTCAGCAACCAGAGGTCTAGAATGTTTAAATTAAATGAAAAGTTTTCATATTTTTAGGCCATGTTTGGTTCAATCCTCATTTTTGTTCATTCTTTCCAAAAATAAAATTTTATAACGGACAAGTTTTGGTAGAAATCGGTAAAATGAGAAAATGTTGCTATGAATTAACTGTTTTTCTAAATTTATTTATTTTTAATTTGTTGTAAGAATGAGAATAAATTTTGAATCCATTTGGTTACAAATTTTAACTTTATTTTTTGTTCTCATCAACAAAAATAATAATAATATAGGTGGTGCGTGATCTGGTTGCTCCTAGTTAGAGGGCAGCTCGAACGTCAGGTGCTTCGCTGGCTGGTCGAACCGTAAGATGAATGAGACTCAAAGGACTCGGGGTGGTTTACCCGAGGTGGTCACTCCGATGGTTAAGTTAGTACTTAATGATTGCGAGCTGTTAACTTGATAGTAAGAGAGCTAGAATGCAAATAATCGTGCGTACATTGTGTCATTGGAGTTGGTGCGTTTATATAGGCGTTGTTTGGCGTGGCTTCATGCATTGCGTCCGAGGTCTCTGGGAAGACGTGTCTAACCGATCCAAAGTCCTCGAAGGTAGCCATGCACGTAGACCAATATTTGCGCTTCGTTCGGTCTCCTTTGGAACATTCGAGGCAGGGGCCAACTTCCAATATACCCGGGAGTGACAGGATATGCATGCAGAATTGATCGACGAGCACATTTCGCAAGTTGCCAACTAGACTTTAATCAGGTTGGCAAGCCCTCGAGGGAGGTCCCTCCTCATCGAGGTCACCTTGACTGTATTGACGAGGTGCTACAGTCGGCCCTGGACGAGATGTTGCAAGACGCCCTGAGTTGTGGACGAGGTCGCCAGTTAGATTTCCTCCAAGTCGGCGGAAGAAGGTCGCTAGGTTGGTGGCAGAGGCAGGTTGCTAGGTCGGATTCCATCACTTTGGCTAAAGCAGGTCATTGCCTAAGTGGTGTCAAGATGTCATCCAATTGTTCCGAAATGCCATGTGTCATGATGTCACTTGAGAGCCAAATCCGCACTCATCAATAGGTATAAATACAATACCCATTAGTATATATATTATATAGTGGAAATATGCAAGACATATACCAACAAAAAACAAATAAATTATGTAGGCTCCACATCAATAACATAAATATGGAAAAGAAAAAAAGACAAGAAACTAGAAAAGCTTTTATTTTTGGTTGGATAAAGAAAATATAAAAGTAAATTTAAAGGAATCAATTAGCACCTATTTAAAACTAATTACTGAATTGATTAGGCAATAGTGCAAATGAAGAAAATAGTTTGGAACTTGTAAATAGAAATGGAATTTAAAAATCGTAAAAGTAAAAATAAAATGAATAACACGAAGAAATACAAAATGTCTAGTAATTTCATCAAATTGATAGTATATTCAAAAAAAATAATATACTAAGAAAATCAGCAAATATAACAAAACATCATATAGTTGTGCCATATGTTACTCATTTTCATTCTTCAAAGAAACTCTATGTTGGAAGTCGCAAACTTCCATCTTAGGTCTCCAATCCCTTGGCATAGATTTTTATTGGTGGTCAATGTATAACAAAATAAGTTTTTACAATAACAGTTGCCAACAATAGTTGACTGTTGGCCATTCCCAATAAAAATCTGCATTGACAGTTTTTGACCGTTGATGCCGAGCTTCTTTAAAGAATGAAAATGAGTAACATGGGGCACAATTATTTTTTATGCTGCAAGTTACCTCAATTATTATACCCTATGATGATTTTTTCATTCTAAAAGGAATGAGACCTTGGCAAGAATTTTGTAATCAAATGCTCTAATGTTTCGTTATTTCTCATTCTCGCATAGAATGAGTACGAATTGAAAGAATGACGCCTGTGGTAGCAAATCAAACATGACCTTAGTTGATTTTATCCGAATAATATGAACTCTTATCCATCCAAATTATGGTTTAAATTTTAAACAATATAGAATCAATTAAAGACGAATACCAAGGCTTTTTGAATGTAACTCATTTGATATATTAGAATGTAATTCATTTGTTATTTAATATTACCAAAAAAAGAAAAGTAAATTAGTTTGCGCCAAACATGCAAAGATTGTAAGTTCATCGCATAAAATCATTATGAAAACTCGATCATGCAAATGACTGGACTAGCTTCATTTTCCAGTTTTTAATTGGATCAATAGATTAAATACCAAATTGCTTCAATCAACATTTCTAATTAAGGTTGTGTTTGGTACCATTGTTGTTTTTAAGGCTCTGTTTATTTACAATACAAATGCCGAATCGGGGTATTTATGTACCCCGGTTTACGTTTTCGAGCGTTTATTTGAAACGTAAAAAAGTAATAATTATCAGAGCAAAAATGTATTTTCTGACACTTTTGCATTTTAGAAAGAGTATTAATGTACCTATTTTTTGGATACAATTTTGTGTTTTATTGATAATTAACTTTTTGAACAAAGTTAGCATAAGATAGTTGGAGCATTTTATGATGAGGCCACACTTTTGCACCGATTTCAATCAAACAAGATGAATGCAAAAACAATTTAAAATGTGAACTGTGTTTACATTCATGAACCAAAAAATGGATAAATATGTAGCATACATATTTGCGTTTGCATTGCAACCAAACGACAACCTAACTGAAATATTTTAGGGTGATCAATACAAATTGGTGAAAACTGAAAAATGTAATCTCATCACATAGAAGAGTAACTTCAACTAGGAAAATGCATATAGGACTAAACATTTGTGTTTATAAATAAAATGTCAAATTTGACGTTTCAAGTAAAATATCACTTCGTGTATATTGTTTAACCCAAAATGTTTCAGGTAGAAATCATGACCCCATTCCACCCAATCAAATTAACTCCTATTTTGATTTCCTGCGAAGCAAATTGACCCTTAGTGTACGAGGAAGACAAGATCTTAATTGGCTTTGTTTGCATTGAACGAAACTATTTTGTCTTAACAAATATCTAGTGGTTGCATTTTCATTTTAACTGAAAATAACCAAAATTTCAATTCTTTGAAAAATATTTTTGTGACATGCAAGTTTTTTTTTTCGCTGCCATTTTTTTTTTGTGACAAGTTAGCTTTTAAATAATTAAGTTGCATGACTTAGGCCCCGTTTGGTTCGTGGGAGTAGGGGTCTGAAATCGGAATTGGAATGGGTTATTTTAGTTCCAACCATTTGGTTGGATGGAATCAGAATCCCATTCCCATTTCTGCTGGAATGGCATACCCTCTCCCCATTTGAGGGAATGACCATTCTCTGCCCTCCCTTGGGAATGATTATATTCCTGCCGATTCCTATTTCCATTTTTGCCTGAACCAAATAGATTGTAAAGGATATTGATTCTGATTTGGATTATAAACCAAACTGGCCCTTATTTGCCTCTAAACTTCTATTTACTACGATTAAAGTAAATATTAGACCATTGAATTTAAGGATATATAGAAGAATTGACTATTTAGAAATTAAAAACCTCATAGGTTCACTTGGCCAAAAATTTTTGGGAGAGTAATATTCAATACACCCTAAGAATTCTTTGCCTCATAGTACGGTTGGGTAGGTACTAACTTGAAATTGATGTCGGTGGGCTGTTATTGATATTTTAAGGTGGAGGTATTTATCATTTTAAATTGTATAAGATTTCAATAGAATTCAGAATTCTGCGGTGCAGTATATTTTTCTGAAACTTTTTCTACCTTTCTCAAGTAAGAAACGTATTTGCTGATGTAAACATAACACAACAGTCATATGGTGTGTCTCAGTCTCGCCGTCCAATTCATAATGACTCTATTTGATGATGACATACACTCAAAAGTAAAAGTATGTGTACACATGAATCATTATTTTCATTTGCTCACATAAACCATGACCATTACATCCTCTTTTCACTTTGTGGATCCAAAAACTTGTCATTTCAAATAAAAAAAAAAGAAAAAGAAAAGATAGCCCTTTTTAGAGCCATCAACATAAAAAACCATCATA